TTCGACACGCTCTAACCGTTTTCGTAAGCAAGCAGAAAGCTTAAATGAGCTATGGAAAAAAACTGATGTAATTTGTTATTGATCGAGGAACATTTTCACTGCTAGTGGCTATAGATTAATGTCATGAGTCGACTGAATAGGTCGTTATCAGCACAGCTGATTGCTGACGGAGATGGTCTCGGTGAAAAATTAAGGGTGAGCATATGCTTCAAATGTTTAAATGAGTTGCGAACTATAAAGAGAGAGCAAAAAGAGGTTGGAATCGGGAATTATAAAGAATTTTCGCTCCAAAATCTGTTTTTTTTTTATCCTTGAATTTTAAGGACAGATTACCAGAAGATCTAATCGTCTAAATTAGATCTTCATCAATGGTATTTGTTACGAATGTAGCATCATCGGCGTTAAAGAGTAACGAATTTTCAATTGAACTCTCAAAAAGGTAGTTGTAAGTAAAAAATGTGAATGAAAAAAGTGAAACATTGGTATATTTTAGATGCTCTGACAGCCACCAAAACATGATCACTGCATCAACTTTACATTCAAATTAATCTTCACGCCCTACGTTTCTGAATTTCGTTGCTTTCAGAAAGGTACAAAAACTGCGCTCGAAACCACTAGGACATTTGCCACACTATTCGCAGATATGGAAATTCGACAACGTCTAGTGATGGCATCATCTGTTGAAGCATTTAGGTGAGAGTAGCTCACTTCACATCTTGAGGTATTAGAGTAGTCGACAAAGCTCCCTCCTTTGCCAGCCTCGTTAATTATATTTGACATCTTTTTTCTGGAACTATGACAGTTAGCTAATTCTAGGTCAACACTTCTATCAGCTGCTAAGGAGCTTGCGATGGATCAAAGTCAATGGCGAGAGCGAAAAGCTTCCATTCACCTGAGTCAAGCTAAGGAGCAAATTGTGGGTTAAGTGATATATTTAAGAAAGTCATATGGATTGGATCTCTATGCAGTTTAGAAAGGCTAAATTAACCATTATGACTGTTAGCAGCTTTTTTAAGGCTTAACAAAATCTCATAATATACTCTACATTTATACATTACTGTGCAAAATGGATTTGAAAACGATTGGGCTGCGAAAACACTCATGTTCATAGAGGATCAAATTGGATATTGCTGTGGTTACTCCCTACTTGCTTAGATACTTACAAGGGAAGGATACTTAGTGGCCGTGGCCGTTCAGAATGAGATGTATATCAGAACATTAGTCTTAGAACACAAGTCTCA